ATCAAATGTTTCTCTACAAGAGAATTTGTTTGTTTGTTTTGTAATTAAGCACAAAGCTACACAATGGGCTATCTGTGCTCTGCCCACCACGGGTGTCGAAAACCCGGATTCTAGCGTTGTAAGTCCGCAGACATACCACTGTGCCATTGGGGGGCCTACAAGAGAAAAACAACAACTTTGAAACCCATTACAATTTTCACAATTACTGGGTTTTTTTATACATAATTCTGATATTATGAATTTTATGCTGAAATAAATTATCTTTACTTCAGTTCCTAATCAGCTAATGAAAGCACGCCAATGAAATCTCTCTGAAATAAAAAAAAATTAATAACATTCTTATACATATTTAGTTTTATCATTGTTACTATTATTTTACAATTATCTTTAACTCACAAAGGCTAAGTGATAGATTTTTTAATATTTGGTTTCAACTTCTCTATGTTAAACTGTTTACTATTCGTGTTCATTCTGATGAACGTATCAATACTAAATCATTCGTTTCTCAGACTCAAATTAAAATTATCAAGTTTAAATCATGATTATTTTAGATTGTTGGTTTGTTTGTTATGGATTTCGCGCGAAGCTACACGAAGGCTATCTGCGCTAGCCGTCCCTAATTTAGCAGTCCATGATTTTTAAACTCGGTGGCTTACCTGTCCGAGATTCGTTGGAAGAGGTTTTGAGAATTCAAGATGTCTCTAAAATAATCGGCCCGGCATGGCCAGGCGGTTAGGGCGCTCGACTCTCAATCTGCGGGGCGCGGGTTCGAATCTCCGTCACACCAAACATGCTCGCCCTTTAAGCCATGGGGGCGTTATAATGTGACGGTCAATCCCACTATTCGTTGGTAAAAGAGTAGCCCAAGAGTTGGCGGTGGGTGGTGATGACTATCTGCCTTCCCTCTAGTCTTACACACGTCATGTCAAAGACACAATAGAAAAATATAATCAAGAAAGTCCTGATTATATTTATGCTCCTGGGCGTTTCCTTAACAGTTATTAAAAAAAAATACGTATTGTGAGAAAAGGAAAGATATGTTTTCCTGTGGAAAATTTTATACTTCTAATAATTCACTTCCTGATTATAACAGGAATTACAAGTATTGGAAGCAATCACGAAACAATACTAAAGACTTAGTATTCGGGGTAAGTCTGTTAACTTTACTTCCTGGAAATCATATCTTTAGACAGAATATTCGGGTGTGATAAAATATATTTCATTTGGTGAATATTCTGGACCAAAAGATGACTATCAATTATGAGAAAGAGATAAAAAAACACATCTAATTTCTATTACTGCCTACAGGTACTTGACGTTTTTTGCAGTTATACAGGTTTCTATTACATGTTCCTAAACGATAAAAGCGCCTATTCTGTGTCTGTATTACCTTATGGTAATTGTCCATGCCGTTCTGTGTTCTGTCTTTAGTTTAGTTGTTCTGTTTCAATAAACACATAAAATTAAACATGAATTTAACCATGTTTTGATCAGGAACTTATTCGGTTGAAACCGTTCAAAAGATCATAAGAAAGAGAAACAAAACGACCTATTTTCACTGATAGAAAAACTGTTTCTCTTGTGAACAGATTGTCGTTAACGTTCAAGTAAACACGTGGAATGACGTCACATGGTGCTGTATAGATAGTTTTGATGTAGTTTTGTCTTTATGATTTTCATTAATCTCCTTTCACGTTGCTGTAAGTGAGAATATGACTAACGAAATAGTTCGTTTCTTCGTCCATTTTCACTCTGGATAAGGAGTTCAGAAGTTATAGGCATCCAGGTAACTTAATGTTACAAGCAGATATCTTGATGCACATATTAATGCATCTTGTTGAATTACTAACTATGTGGAAAATAACACTAATTGCAATATTTTATATTTTGCCATTATTTATTATTTGTTTGCAACTGTTGCTACAAATGGCTACTGTTAAGGCTAGTTAATGATATGTAACACAAACACTTATCGTTATTGTTATTTAAGAATTACTTTTAAATGTACCATTGTGTCGTTTATCTAGTTTTAATATTTTTCAATCTGCGTTTGTAGAATAATGCATTACGATATTTGATTAGTTATTTGTTTTGTTGAGTTTCGCGCAAAGCTACTCAAGTGCCACTGCGGATGGCCATCTTTGAGTATATACAGAAAGTGTATATTTGTCATTCTATGAAAACCTTAAGTTATATACAATGTTATCTATAAGTATCGTTGTTGCTATTGTAACGGCTACTTAACAGTGACTTTCTGAATTTTGTTGTTTTTTTTTCAGCTCAGAATGTTTTCATACGTTTCTTGCATTTATTAGGCCACTGGGGTAAAATGTGTGGGCAACTGTTATCTGACGATCGAAACCAACCACGTTGTAGCAACAGAACCTGAATAGGCTAACCAAAAAATACCAATGGGGAACTTAAAAAAAACTGTTTGGCCTATCACATTCAAGGTCATTTAGGTTACTTCGCAAGCAGCAAAAAAACGTTTCTCGACCTTATTCTATAGTAAACGTCACGCGAAGTGGTTCATTTGGTGAAGCTTACTTTTCATAAGTGGTTGGACAAAAATCTGTTGTGTTTCTTGGTGCTATAGGTAACTTGGCTAGCCATGGTTTGTGACGGTATCGTACGACTGGCCACTATGTTCTGTTTGTTTGTTTTGTTTTGTTCAAACAGAGCTACCGAAGCAGGTAATACAACAAGTTTCACGCCTCCACTTAAGCTATCAGTTACAGATACCACAAGCTCAACAGAAAGAAATTTCGTAAGTTCCACAAAAATAAATACCACAAAATCAACAGAAAAAGAAACCTCAAAACCAACAGAAAGAATCATCACAAACTCGACTATAAACATAGTTATGACGCCAAAAATGCGTTCAACGTCCAGAAACTTTGACACATCCCTGACTCCAGAAGTGACAACAGAGAACTCCGTGTCTCAGTGGCTGAACATTGAGAAAAGTATGAAAACAACAATAGACTCTATGTTGAAACAGATCCTTCCATACATAGTGCGGATGTTTTCCACTGTTGAATTATCCGGTCCCTGCTATGTTAGTCTGTTAAAAACACTGTTCAGTGTTCGGAAGCTCAAATCTTGGGCAATAAAAAGTAAGTAACTTTTTAAAATTTGGAACAAAAACAGTTTACAACAACAAAACGATTTAACGATTTTAATTAAGACTGACAAGTAAAAGCTCTCATTATTTATGTATTTTTATTTATTCTGGCAACAAGTGGTAAAGTACACTAATTTATATCGATAAAAAGATGCTTTCTTAGTGTTAACTCACACCGAATTATATCAGTAATAAGATGCTTTCTTAATGTTAACTCACACAGAATTATATCAGTAATAAGATGCTTTTCTTAATGTTCATTCACACTGAATTATGTCGGTTGTAAAATAGTTTCGTAGTATAAAATGCTAATATTTTTCAATTCACCGTTCCTAACAAGTTAATAATTTGTCGTTGTACACTCATTTTGTGTCCTGATGCTGGTTTTCATAGACTAGATTCAGTGCAGGACGTTTGCTTGTCTGCTTATGATTTCCAGTTTTTTGTTCTGTTAGACATTTCCTCTAGAGTACCTTGCTCGTTGTATTATACCATAATTTGTCTATAATCACGAGTGACTTAAAAAATTAATTATTCTACACAAACGACTTTGAAAGTTTCAAGAACAAGTTAGATCAAACTGTCGTATGAAAATCAACAAATACATGTCAGTAAAACTTGAAGAAATTATGAGGAGCTTAACCGACATTTCTTAGTAAGTGTCGTTAACCACTGTAGTGGTTCATAATAGGGGTTGCCAAATTCTTCTTCTTTATTATTATTTAATATTGTTCCGCCAGCCTACAGCAAAAAATGGCTGCGAGTATTGTAATAAAATCTGGGCAGTATTACTAAACGCATCATCACGCATTGTATAGGGTAATTGTAAGTTTATTTGACTACCTAGAATACAACAGCGATTGTATAAACGTTGACACCCAATAGTGTAGTCTGTGGTTTATATGGAGCCTCATAACCTACTACATGCATACATATCTAGCTGCGTGTATTTTAATGTTTAAATGGCAGACATGACATATGGCCTAACGAGACACTGGAAAAAATCCCGATGGGCCCTCTTGGAAAAGTACGTAGTTTTGTTGGTCCCCTTGTGGGCCCCCCTCTAGATTTTTTCCCGGTAAAATTTTAGATTCCAGTCCGCCTCTGCTAGCAAATAACAGCAGTTCTATAACCATTGACGCCCAATCCTTTTAATGTAATCTGTGGTTTACATTGAAGGCTCATAATCTACTACATGCACACGTATTTAGCTGCGTGTAATTGAATGTTTAAATGGCAGACATGACATATGTACCATAGTGATTATTAACTAATTATTGCAACTACGCTACTGACAGGATCACAAACGCCAAAAACGTAATACGAACTTCTAGGCTGCCTCCACAACAGAAATATTTAAGCCGTAGTTTAAAAACCAGCACCAAGCTCAGTTTTGGTGCCGACTGATGGTAAGTGTCAAATTATAGCCAACACTGCGTGATTGAGAATTTTATAGACACCGCAGATAGAGTAGCCATCCTTGAAAATGCCTCTAAAGAGTGGCAAGAATCATGCAAGCAGGAGATAACGAAAATGATGGCTATTCTAGTCGAAAGTGAGGCAGAAATTGTAAAGCTATATATTTTGTTTAGAAAATATTTAGTTTCAGATAAAGTTTACAGCAGCGACGTCCCACAAGAGTTTAGGGTGACAGAAGTGTCACGACCCAAACTCCATCAGAAATGGAGAGAGGGGAGGTATAGAATTATAATCAATTTATAATTGTTAATTAACACGTTTCCGACCTTGTATAGTGTGGAGAATGTCAATCTAAGAGGAAATTTAGCAAACTGCACCAAACCTTGACCGGCCTTACTATGGCCAGCGGAGAAGAGGAAGGGGAAAATATAACAACTATAAGAAATGTTCAAAACTCCATGTCTTCAAGCTATAAACCCCTGTTTTGACTCCATGTCTAAAAGCTGTAATATTTAGGAGAGTCAAAATAGGGGGTTTAGGAGAAAATATAACAACTATAAGAAATGTCAACAACTCCATGTCTACAAGCTACAAACCCCTATTTTGACTCCATGTCTAAAAGCTGTAATATTTAGGAGAGTCAAAATGGGGGTTTTAGAGGAAACTATAACAACTATAAGAAATGATAAAAACTCCATGTCTACTAGCAACAAACCCTTATTTTGACTCCATGTCTAAAAGCTGTAATATTTAGGAGAGTCAAAATAGAGGTTTTTAGGGAAAATATATAATAGCTATAAGAAATGGTAAAAACTACATGTCTACAAGCTATAAACCCCTATTTTGACTCCATCTCTAAAAGCTGTATTATTTAGGAGAGACAAAATAGGGATTTTTAGCTTGAGGAAATAACGTCAACACTTTTTGTTTGTCTACTTTTTTGGCGATTGCATTTTCACTTTAAGCTACCATTCTTGTCTGTGTATTTTTTTGAAGACATCTTTTTTTAAAACTAATGATTTTTAATAATATTGTATAAAAATGTTGTCATAACACACGAGAGACTTTAGTGTCCACCAATTCAGTTATTTATATTAGTTCCTTTTCATGTAGTTGTTTCAAAATATTCCTAAAATACCATAATCTTTGAATATTGAATTTTTCAGCCTCGTAGGCCCTTATGTTCTGTAAGTTATATTTTGAGTAAGATAACGTATCTTCTAAATGCTACTATATCCTAAATTGAACTGATAAAGGTAAAGAGCATAAGCTCTTAACGTAGTTTTGAGTAGATGAACTGATAAAGGTAAAGAGCAATCAGCTTTTGATGTAGTTTTGAGTAGATGAACTGATAAAGGTAAAGAGCATAAGCTCTTAACGTAGTTTTGAGTAGATAATTAAGCTACGATTTTACGGCTGTTATTTTTGTTGTTGTAAATGCTGATCCAAACCTAAAATATTTCTTTTTAAACCACATTTTAGTGAAGAGTTTGATGTTTGATCCTGCTTTGTTGAAAGGGCGCACTTATAAATACACTTGCTATTTTTTATACAACCAACTAGGTTGGGGTTAGTAATAGGCCGGAAATAAAATGCCGAAATAAGGCAAAGAACAGGTGGAGAGATCAAAATAGGTCACAGGTAGGTTCCACGGTGTGCTTCTTGTGGAAATAATCTCAAAGTAACTTGACTATGATATTTCGTCGTTCCTAACAACTTGAAAAGTTAGCGTTTTGTACTTCTCAAAGTGCCATGTTTATTTACAGTTTCTGACATTATATAAACGGTAGTTTATTTTACTTATCGCTTGAGACAAAAGTAAAAAAAGGTAATCGAACTCACGAGGTATAATTTAAAGTCACTCCATTCTGTCTTGTGTCAAGTTTTGGTGTGACGTCATACCCTTGTATGTCAGTGGACAAGCAGAATTACCGTATGTATTTGTTTTCTAAATACTTATAAAGTAAGTCTGTATTGACATTAATGTTTTGTTTCGCTTAACTTCTTGGAAGATTGCAAATAAGAACTTAAAAATTTATAATAGTAATTGAGTTTTCGCATTATATTCTACAGCCATAAAAAGTTGGGAAAATGTACGGCAGCATGGTACTGACTAACACTTGTTATTCCTTTTCCAATAGTTACATTATACATATTAAAATAATATATTCAAGATTTCACATTATACTTTGTTGAAATTAGTCATATTTTTTTCCCAAGACATTTATGATTCAATAACGTTCTTTCAAAACTGTGCGCCATTGATTGTACTAATTGTACGTCTTTAACCGTTGAAACTTAATGTTGCTTACACAGGGGTGTTCGTGTCACTCCGCTTTGAAAGAGCTGAGAACGAGGTTATTCTTCCTGCGTTTTGGTTACACGTAAGAGTGAGTGATGCAAGAGGAGTGGTTAATATTTGTGATGGTTAACCAGATGATAAAGACAGTGAATTTTATAAACATTCCCCTAATGCTTTATAGCGAACGTAAAGAGTTTGGGCTAAAACCCTAAGAAAACAACGTAAAACACCAGTACACCAACACAATCATTATATTGGTTGAATTTACAGGTCCTTCCGAAGTCTCTCATTCGTGCGGTCAAACTAAGATACATATACTAGCAGAAATACCCGCCCGCTCTGCAGGTTAACTACTAGTTTCTGCAGAAGGCTATTGGGCCTGCGGCCTTTCCTGGAATTATCTGACAGTTCTACAACAATGTACTCATACTTCACATTCAATAATGTTAGCTATACATGAGAAGAATGATTTTATTGAAATGTTAGTTTAAAAATGAGATATCATCAAAGCATTACATTAGATTTATTGAAGTATTTCTTTGTAGACGCAGTTATCAATGAAAGTGCCCAGCTTTTCTGTTGCAACACTCATGAGATTTTCACTGAAGAAAAACAAATAAGTTTTTAAGTTTGATGTTTGATGGTTATGATTGGTGATGATCGGTGCTGTAGTTTCCGAGATCCGAGTTTTGGACGTATACATCGTAAGCTCCATTATAATAAGATGCTTTATTATATCGACATTTAATACATTTGGTATGCGTGATTATCATAATACTCTTACATGATACTCGAAATGTCCACGTGGATATGACTTTATCATTGCTCGTTGTATTAGTCTACTTACTCCATGTTTAGAATCACTAATCAGTTAATTTTTCGGACTGAGTACATGAAAAGCATCTCCCAAAAGAGTACGCCACATTTTGTAAACACCATGCATATTGTTTAACGCAACGGTCAGTTACGTTTCAAACGTTCTTTCACTTGACTATGAACAAATGTGGCATGTTTCTCGTATCTTCCGGCATATCATTAAATAATTGTGAACTTTGCATGTTTACGAAAGGAAAGATAAAACTATTTACTTTTAGTGCCCTATTTAGTACCCTATTAGTGCCCTATTTACAATTCTAATGAAGCTATTTCTAATATAATAAGTATATAAATGTTCATTTATTAACGTTTGTTCTCTGAATTAAAGAGGATTAGAATTTCGAGATTCTAGTGGCTTCATGATCTATTACTTGTTTGTGATTCTAAACAACAAAGTTTTACTGTGATTCATATTAATCACACTTCTACCATGCGAGTAAACGCAATTTTTGAATAATGAATCATGTTAAATCACTTGCTTCTAAAACAACTATACCAGTCAGGTATATGTGATTATCAGCAATAAATTCAACAGTCAACAACAAATCAAAATATGTATATACAGGCTAATCAGATTCTTTGTGTTTTTTGTTAATTAGCTGTAACAGTTTTCCATTGAATCAAACACAGTTCTGAATAAACTCTTTCGATCATGTATATGTAATTTTGTTGCATTAAATAAAATGTTTCATAAATAATATGACTCAATAATGATTATCCCTAATACCAGTGACAAATTGCCAAACTCATTTTATTCTTTATTTTTTCTAAGTGTTAGATGCTTCTGGGAAGATATCTTCTGGGATCGCCGAGGGAAGAGGTACCAATTTTGGATCTTATGACGAGTGCCTTAACATTTTGGTAACTAACCATAGAACAAACAAAGTAGATTTCCGTGGGAAATATTGCTTTTTAGAAATGCATTCACCGTTTCCTACATCTTCAGGCCAACTGGACCCCATATTCAAAGATTCGGTAGGTGTTTTATTCTTTTTTGTGGGGATTATAATGCTATAATTTAAGGTTAGTTCCCAGTAGTAGACAATAACCCATTGTGCATTTTTGCGCTAAAACAATCATGCAAACTTTACGCCTAAATTATACCCTGTAGGATAATTAATAAATTAACCACTGATTTAATTATCGTATCAAAATATGGCGTTTATTGTACACGCCTTACCATTGCTGATATAAATGATTTGTAAAACCCTGATTTTTAAGCGTTTCCCCGAAACAAAAATAAAACCAAGTCATCATATATTAAACAATGAAATGGTACTCTTTGCAATTGAAAATTAGGTAATATTCTAAAACACGAAGACATTATCTTCAAACTAGAAACAATCAAAATATTTACAGGATTAATAGAAAAAGTGATCAGCAGTAAAGAAACCCGATAACCCTTCTGAAAGTGGACTTTCCATGAACAGGGACAACAGCGATAGTGGCAGTTGGGATCCTTGGAAAGAATTATACAACCTTCCAAATTACAATGCATAATACAGCATAACACGCATAACAATGAAATGTTAGTGTCATGATCCCAAGAACTAGGTTTGAATATGAATTACAAAGCCCTAACTACAACATAATACAGGTGCGTTTATTTTCTTGTTCTTTCTTTTCAAAGCAGCAACTAAAGTACGTTTCTACAAAGCTCGATGCCTAACCTAAGTGTGTATTTAAAAAAAAAAAACTTTGGTGAACGTGACCCCATAATATATTTAATTTATAATTGCTTGCTGAACTCAGAATAGACAGTACCCTGAGTCCAAATGATGTAATGAGAATGAGGATGAAAAAAAGAAAAAAAAGTTTAAGGCTTTGTAATGTAACACAAATTCTACTTGTTTGTATTGCATATTTAATGTAAAATATCTGAAAACGGGAAATCAATAGAGTCGTTCACAGAATGCATTCACTTAGAGAAGTTTTCAACACTTAGTTGAACTCTAAGTTAAGTGCTTTGATCATTGGATGGAACATGAACCACTTTCATTACATGCCCGCTAGAAACCGAGAGGAGTCGTCGTCGATAAAACGGCCACCCCTGTATGTCATGACTTATGACGTACTGTAATCTAGTGTGAATCATATGTAACTATTGTTAAAGCTATTTAAACACAGTGATGTTACACCAGGTGAGCCAAAAATCTGATTTTTCTTGTTGTTGTTGTGAAGTACTTGTGGAATATTGACAATCTGCTGAAATAGAGTGTTTAGGCATATTGGGGACCATCTATTATTTAACGTGGCCTTTAGGGAAGTTGATAAACGTTAGTTTTTCGTAAATGTGTATAATTTACAATTTACCCTGTTTTAAAGTAAAACATTTTCTATTAAAAAGTATATATATGCACATATATACGAGACCCATAAAAAAACAACGTTTCTGAGATGATATCGTTGTATTGACTCATTTTACTCCAGTCTGATAGTTTCCGTGATAGTATTTGATTTGACCTGTAGATCATGACATCATGTCATGTAACAAATAGTCCCTAATATATTTAAATACCATACGTTAGCATACTTCACAACAATAAGAAAATCAAACTTTTGACTCATCCTGCATTAGTTGTGACGAGGAGCAGGTTCGTTATATTAGTTGTAATGAGATATGTGATAACCTTTGTTGTTAAATATAGGTTTCAAATGTAACTAAAAAAAGGTAGTTGCACTCATTTAAAAACGCGATTTACTGTTATCATTAAAGCTGTAATTGTAGCCATGAATATTACATAGCTAAAACAACTCAGTGTTTTTGTTTCTTATGAACTAGAATAAAATAGTTTTAAAACAATAAAAATCCAAATGCACACGTGTTACTTTTGGTATTTAATCGCTCCGGCGTGAATCGAACAAAACATAATTCAAACAAAAGAAGATTTCGTCTTAATTTACATCAGAATCATGCTTACCGAAACTCACTTACATCGATCAAAATTAGGGACAGCTAGCGATAACTTTGTGCGCATATCCGAAACAAGAAAGGAATTAAAAAATGGAGTAGTGTAGCCATTTATGCAAATACTAAATCCAATGACAGAATCATCTCTGTTGCGATATTTACTAACGTCCTAAATATATTTTATGCTGTCTCCAAAGTAATGCCAAATGCTGTATCATGAATTAGGAAAAAATTACCATTGCTATGATTCTTAAAACTTAATATCTAATACCATTTTAGTGGTATCATGTCATATCCAATAGCATTATCAGTTTTACGATAACATAAGTAACAAATTTTCTGATGTAAAGTATCATTAACGGTTTCATAAAATTTTCAGTTTACCATAAACTACAACATAGACCACAAATATAGATATGACAGGTGGCCTTTTTATTGTATGTATGATGTAGATTTTGGCCGAGTTGGCGTTATCTGCTCACTTAGCATCAGAACTACCTGGTCTTATTGCTTTCTGTGTTCCATCAACTTGCTCTAATGAAGATGTTAAAAGAGTCACAACTACTGGTAAGATCCAGATATCTCAATAACTGTTATATACATCAGCTATTTAACGTTTGTTTGTTTTTAGAAAGAAAATTGGGCATTCATAACTAAGACAATTATTTAACTTATGTTAGAAAATCCACTGGCTCAAATACATTATCGTATTTCTCGTATAGTAATCTAACAAGTGGCACATTTTCTGCCCCAAACATTTTTGAATTCTTGGAATGTAAATTAATCTGATTTACACTAAATAATGTTGGATCTATATAATAAAAATGTTGACTTTCTTACTTCGTCTTACTTGTAGTATAGAACATAATATTTGTTTAGCGTCAGATGATTTAAGGTAACCTCTATTATTTAAATATTTTTTTGAAAATTTAAATACAAGAAATTTCCTGGCCAAATTTTAGCCTTTGCAGAGGTAATTCCGGTCTCAGTTCCCTACTGTGACGTAAAGGAAGAAATAAAGTTGAAAGATGAGCAGGTTGGAGTTTTGTAAGTGATTCTCTTTGTTCTGCAGTTTTAGTGTCAATAGATAATAGTGAGTTTTCCCCTGTAAGTTTGTAATGTTTGTATGAATATTCGGGAAAACGTTTTAAATAGGGTGGTAGTTTATTCTCATACAAGAAAAAATACTGATGTCAAAAGATCAGTACCCTTTATGACATGTTTGTTAACTTACAGATTTTAAGATAAATATACAATACTAACTTAAATTACAGAAATTATCGTTTATAATCATAAACCAGTTATATTGATAAGAAATCTAGTAGTAATAACGTTTAAAGTTTTCTAAGTTTAAGCCATTTCGTAAAGTGTATCTATAATTGTTGAATAAATACGAACAATTCTTATGTTCTAATATTTCGATTTGGTCACGTTTTAACAAGAAATATATTTTATTGTTGTAATTGCTTTAAACGAAAAGCTATGCAATGGGCTATCTGCGTTGTACCTACGATAGGTATGGAACCCGATATATAGCGTTATAAGCCCTCAAGCTTACCGCTGAGGCTTTAGTGGGGACTTGGTTGGAAATACTGAGTGTTCGGAAACATGCAAACAAAATTACTAACATTAGTGTCTGAATGTATATATGTAAAGCATTAGAGAATACACCGTAAGTGCCCCCCCCCCAGTGGCACAGCGGCATGTTTGTGGACTTACGATGCTAGATAGCCCCTTGTGTAGCTTTATGCTTAACTTTAAACAAACAAACACCGTAAGCATCTCACGTGTATATGGTACAACTGGTTTCTATTTGAGAGTTAAACCATTTTGTTTTAAAAACTATTCACTTGTGTAACGATTGGTTACAAACTACTAAAATACTTGAAATGAATTTTAGCAGCAAAGTTATATAACAGCATGCGACAAAAATTTTATATTCTTATATAACTTTTAAAATATCAAAGTATAGAAATCACCATCTTTTGTTCTTTTTTCGACTTCACTTATAACGCCCCCACAGCTGAAAGGGCGATCAAGTTTGGTGGGACAGGGATTCGAACCCACGCCCCTCAGATTGCGACTCGAGCGCTCTAACCACCTGGCCATGCCGGACCCATTACAGAAAGGAAGAATACTTGAGAGTTATCGCACCAGCGATCGAAACGTCGTACCTTTTAAATAATATCATTCCTTGCTGTAAAAACTGTAACTTGTAAAGAAAACATTAACTGCTTGTAATCTACTGTATTAACGCTAAACCTATTTTCATATAGTTGATTTATACTATCTTGATCGGTTTTTAAATATATTTGAGACCTGCGAGAGTCAAGTGCAACGGACACCTCTTTCTCCCTCCTTGACGGTTTATTTATACTTTATATTTATTTTGTTGACTATTTCTTAAAAAAAACGCTATATGAATTACTTCTTAGGATCAGGATTTGTACCCTCCAGTTCGCGTACTCACACTGAACCCTTTTCAAGTCCATGTTCATAGATGTGATATTTGTAGCGTTTATTGTTTTTTCTGTCACTTTTCATTATTTGATGGTGTGAAAGTCCTACACATCACAAACAATTCAAGTAGTAGAAACACTTTTCACGTGATAAATTAACTAGAAGCATATTTCATATAAATACCCATTAAATATACTTTTGATACCTTAAGCTAAATGAAACATTTATGTGCTAGCTATAGGTGGCTTTTTTGTTTACTTATGGTAGATATTAACAGGGGAAAGGTACTTAGGACTGTTATCACCATGTATGATATATGGGGAGAGGTGCTTAGGACTGTTATCACCATGTATGATATATGGGGAGAGGTGCTTAGGACTGTTATCACCATGTATGATATATGGGGAAAGGTACTTAGGACTGTTATCACCATGTATGATATCTGGAGAGAGGTGCTTAGGACTGTTATCACCATATATGATATATGGGGAGAGGTGCTTAGGACTGTTATCACCATGTATGATATAACGTACTATGGAGCATAGCAAGACGTTATATAAAGGTTTTTCTTGAAGTACTTAAGCGAACTATCTAAGAGTCTGTTCTAAAGTGGCTGTATGTTTAATTGTGTAGGAATACTGAACTTGTGGTTCTGAGAACATTGCAAATTGTCGTTTGTAGGTGGCAGCGTGTTCTAATACTAGGTATATGTTTGTTTGGTGAACTTGTGGTTCTGAGAACTTTGTAAGTTGTCGTTTGTAGGTGGCAGCGTATACTAGGTGTATGTTTGTTTGGTGAACTTGTGGTTCTGAGAACTTTGCAAATTGTCGTTTGTAGGTGGCAGCGTATTCTAATATTAGGTATATATTTGTTTGGTGAACTTGTGGTTCTGAGAACTTTGTAAGTTGTCGTTTGTAGGTGGCAGCGTATACTAGGTGTATGTTTGTTTGGTGAACTTGTGGTTCTGAGAACTTTGTAAGTTGTCGTTTGTAGGTGGCAGCGTATTCTA